GGGGGGGTCTTAGCCAGCCAAGTGATCAGTACCAGGAGAGATGATGTAACTGAATATTCCACCTTGAAGTGATAGTGTCCGGTCTTCTAATCTCATAGACCATATATCCTTTCTCCACGATCCCATGGCATTCTGTTATCGAAAGTCATCAGCATCACATTGTTTCCATGTAATTGCGTTCTTCCCAGAAAAAGTGTAAAGATAATTGGATTTCTTCGTGTACAAAGAAAAATATCTTTGATATCAAAGATCAATATCTTTTTGATAATATATCAGATTTTTAGGAGCATTAAGTGCTTGGCCTGGACTCTGACTCGAATGAGCTGGTCTCGACTACTCATGGAAAATTTGGTCTTGGACTCGGACATGAGATGGACTTTGGGCATACTCACACTGGGCATGATTGTCTTGTACCAAGCCCGATTTTCCCCTCTCCCCACTCTCCCGCTGGCCTGCACTCACATTGCACTTAATGTTCTGGGCCAGAGCACGCTTACGTCATTACGTTGCAGCTTTTTGATTTGAAGAAAACAGGAAGAAAATTGCTTTCAATAATAGACTGTCTAATAGATTCATCACTTAGGGATTTTCATTGTTTTAATTGTACTGCAAGTATCAGAACATTTTTACGGAGGCAGATGACACTGATGGAGGAATTTGCAGCTTTACTTGCACACTACAATTACTGTTCATCACTAAGGTGAGAACCAAATCTGTTAGATATGCTCAAATTAATTGCAAAGTAATAGTAGAAGATGTTTGTTGTCATAATGATGTAGTATCTGTTCCATGCTCCGGTGTGGTTATTGATCACACTACATGTATACTGAGCCCGAGCTCAATCAAACCCAATCAGTACGGAGTGATCACACTAGCCAAACGAACTCGACTTTGGGGTTAAATGTCAGAGTGTGAGTACACCCATAAGTCCAAATTCGGTCTTGTTCGGAATCGAGTACTACCACATTGATGCACAAACCCATCTTCCTTCATACACTCACTCTATTTTCATGTTAAACATTCTGCTCTCTGTCCTTACCACCTGCAGATGCACTTGATGGCCAGTGCCCCTAATATGAACAGCAGTGTGACCCCTTTTGAGAAAGAGACAATTTAAACTTGATTACTCTGATGTGCCTCATGAGGTGAGGATGGAGCAATGTCTCGGGCTGTTCACCGTGATTCCCAAGAATAATGTGCATTTCATATTGAGCGGTAGCCATATAGCAGAGCAGGGTAATATAAAACCACGTACTCTTAGGCTCACAAAACAAAGGGACATGGACCTTTCCAGTCTTGTGTGTTTGGCACCTCCATTAAGATAATAACACTATTACAAGAGATTGAAAGCCTCTGAAAAGCTCTTATTTTCTCTCTTGGTCTTTAGCCATGAGAGTGATGTGCACAGAGACGCACACACACATGCTTATGTTTATAATGGCCATGGCCATGTGCATGATTGTTAGGTGTATACTGATTAGAATGAATTGAACTAATGTACATTTGCATTAGTTATGAAAAAGTGTTTATCTACTGTAAAATAGCCCTTTTTCATTAATAAAGTGAATGGTTTGTGAAAAAAATGCACATACTTGTTTATGTATAATTATTTAGCATTATTTAGTCAACATTGTGTTCAGGACTACTGCACACATGTATTCAGACCTATTTATTTTATTGTAATGTTATAAAACTGTAGGTCCAAATTCTGTAGCTGTCTTCACATAGTATGATAGATTCTATTCATAATTACAATATGTAACACACAAATCTAGGTTGCTTACAGTAT